GTTTACTAGGGTTTAGGGTTTACTAGGGTTTAGGGTTTAGGGTTTACTAGGGTTTAGGGTTTAGGGTTTACTAGGGATAAGGGTTGAGGGTTTAGGGTTGAGGGTTTAGGGTTTACTAGGGTTGAGGGTTTAGCGTTTACTGGGGTTTATGGTCTAGTGGGGTTTAGGGTTTACTAGGGTTTAGGGTTTACTAGGGTTTAGGGTTTTCTAGGGTTTAGGGTTTATCTCCCTTCAATTCTCTCATTTTCTGTTGCTGCGTTGTGTGTGTGTGTGTGTGTGTGTGTGTGTGCTGCTGCTGCTGCTGCTGCTGCTTCTGCTGCTGCTGCTGCTTCTGCTGCTGCATTGCTGCTGCTTCTGCTGCTTCTGCTGCTGCTGCTGCTTCTGCTGCTGCATTACTGCTGCTTCTTCTGCTGCTTCTTCTGCTGCTTCTGCTGCTGCTGCTGCTTCTGCTGCTGCTGCTGCTGCTGCTGCTGCAGTGGGAATGGTGGTAGCATTTCTGTGTTCTTTATTAGGAGCTCTTCTGTCTGGTTTATTTTGTTTTTTAGTCGGCAGACATTTGCTGTTTTCTTCTCTGCATGCAGTGATGGGCTCCAGTTCTTTATTTAGGGCTTTCAATGCTGCTGTTGAGGATGGAGGGTTTACCTTTGTTGCACTCATTCGGTTGTCCCCTATTCTACCTTATTCGGTAATATAATATTTCTAGGGTTTAGGGTTTTTGAGGGTTTAGGGTTTTTGAGGGTTTAGGGTTTGGGGGGTTGAGGATGGAGGGTTTACCTTTGTTGCACTCATTCGGCTCTCCCCTATTCTACCTTATTCGGTAGGGTTTAGGAGGGTTTAGGGTTTTTGAGGGTTTAGGGTTTAGGGGGTAGGGGGTAGGGTTTGCGGGGTAGGGGGTTTAGGGTTTGGGGGGTAGAAGATGGAGGGTTTACCTTTGTTGCACTCATTCGGTTGTCCCCTATTCTACCTTATTCGGTAGGGTTTAGGGTTTAGGGTTTAGGGTTTTTGAGGGTTTAGGGTTTAGGAGGTAGGGTTTAGGGGGTAGGGTTTGAGAGGGTTTACATTCGTTGCCCTGATTCGGCTCTCCCCGATTCTACCTTACTCGGTAATCTTTTGAGGGTTTAGGGTTTTTGAGGGTTTAGGGTTTAGGGTTTAGGGGGTAGGGTTTGAGCGGGGTAGGGGCCAGGGAGGGTTTACGCCTTTTTTTTTGTCGCTCAGGGTTTAGGGTTTAGGGTTTAGTGTGTATGGGTTGTTTAGGGTTTAGGGTTTAGGGTTTAGGCTAAAACCCTCGTTTTTATTTTTATTATATTTCTTTCTTATTTCATTTTATTTTTTTTATTCTTTTTTATTTTTCTGTTTAATTTATTTTTTTTCTTTTTTCTTTTTTTTTTATTTCATTCATTTTTTCTCACAATACACCTTGGGGTGTATATGCAGCTTTTTTTTAATTAACTAATTTATTTAATTTAT